TTTTCATATTCCCAAGTTCCTCTGGAGTCATTATATAGAACAGAGCATACTGGGAAAGCATTATGTTTAAAAGTCTCTAAGGATGCAGTGTCCATTGATGGATGAATGGATAAATTGTGGTCTATATACACAATGGAATCAATGGAATATTATTCAACCTTAAAAAAGGAGATCCTGCAATTTCCAACAACATGGATAAAACTGGAGGACATTATATTAAGTAAAATAACTAGATACAGACAGATACTACAAGATCTCACTTATAAATGGAATCTTCTTTAAAAAAGTCAAATAAGTAGAAACAGAGAAATCAAATATGTAGAAATAGAATAGAGTAGTCGTTACCAGGGATGGGGGGTTGAGTGAGGAGAAGGGGAATAGATGAGGAGAGGCAGGTCTCTTTTGGTAGCAAGTTGCAATTACAAAGGATGACTAAGTCTAAAGATCAAATATACAGCATGAGGACTGTAGTTGAAAATAGTGTACACTGGAAATTTGCTAAAAGAAGATTTTATGTGCTCTTACCACCCCCAACCCATCACACACAAAAGGTAACTGTGAGATGATGGATATGTCCATTTGTTTGACTGTAGTGATAATTTCACTGTGTATGTCAAAACATCATGTAGTACACCTTAACATATACAACAAAAAAGTTTAAAATATTTTTTTAAACGAATATCCATTTTCCTTGCTTGGGATAGTTTATCTTTTTCCTTCTCTCTGCCAATTTGGATAGAAGAATGGCATCTTATTATTTTACTTCGCAGTTGTTATTACTAGTAAAAAAAAAAAAAAGAATGATTTTACATATGCTTCTTGTCCACTGAGCTATCTTTTTTTTTTTTTTTTTTTTTGAGATGGAATCTTGCTCTCTCGCCCAGGCTGGGGGGCAGTGGCGCAATCTCCCTCCTCTCTCCCTCCCTCCCTTCTTCTTCTTTTTCTTTTTCTTTTCTTTTATTTGGAGACACGTTCTCCCTCTGTAGCCCAGGCTAGAGTGCAGTGGCATGACCTTGGCTCACTGCAACCTCCACCTCCCAGGTTCAAGGATTCTCGTGCCTCAGCCTCCTGAGTAGCTGGGATCACAGGCATGCACTGCCATGCCAGCTAATTTTTGTATTTTTTGTAGAGATAAAGTTTTGCCATGTTGGCCAGGCTGGTCTCCAACTCCTGGCCTCAAGTAATCTGATCACCTCCGCCTCCCAGAATGCCAGGATTACAGGCATGAGTCACCATGCCTGGATTATACCAATAAAATTTTTTATTTTGCATTTTGTAACTTCTGAGTAACTATAATAGAATTCTTATAAGACACTGTTATAATAAAAATAATTTTGTGATATTTCACATGTAATTTCACTATATAGAAAATCAGGTATTGTAATTTTACAGGTGACTTAGGAGAGGTGACCTGACTGAAGTTCAGTGAGTCACATTTTGATATTATAGTATATACAAGACCACAGAGTAAAAAAGAAATCACCACTGAGGAAGTTTGTAAGGAATTATTTATTCACCAAATATGCTTTTGGAGGCCTGTCTTCTTTCTTGGTGGTTTTTCAGAATTCAGTTTTCCCCCTGTGTTGTGTAACGTGCCTGTGCTAAGGAAAGATCAACTTTCTAAATGACAGCAGACCATACCCGAGTGGGTGGTGTTGCTCTGTTTTTGCGATGTTCCTTAAAAAGCAGCTCACTTTTTTTGTTTTGAGATGGAGTTTTGCTCTTGTTGTCCAAGCTGGAGTGCAATGGCATGATCTTGGCTCATGCAACCTCCGCCTCAGGGGTTCAAGCGATTCTCCTGCCTCAGCCTCCTGAGTAGCTGGGATTGCAGGCGCATGCCACCACATCCGGCTAATTTTTTGTACTTTTAGTAGAGACAGGGTTTCACCATGTTAGCCAGGCTGGTCTCAAACCCCTGACCTCAGGTGATTCGCCAACCTCAGCCTTCCAAAGTGCCATGATTACAGGCGTGAGCCATCATGCCCGACCAGCTCACTTTTTAAAAATATACATTTTATTTTAAGTTCTGGGGTGCATGTGTAGGATGTGCAGATTTGTTACATAGGTAAATGTGTGCCATGGTGTTTGCTGCACCGATCAACCCATCACCTAGCTATTAAGCCCCACATGCATTAGCTATTTATCCTGATGCTCTTCCCTCCTCCCCCCTGCTCCTGACAGGCCCTGGTGTGTGTTGTTCCCCTCCATGTGTCCATGTGTTCTCATTGTTCAGCTTCCACTTATGAGTGAGAACATGTGGTGTTTGGTTTTCTGTTCATGTGTTAGTTTGCTGAGGATAACGGCTTCCAACTCCATCCATGTCCCTGCAAAGGATGTGATCTCGTTCCTTTCATGGCTGAATAGTACTCCATATGTATATGTACCACATTTTGTTTATCCAGTCCATCATTGATGGGCATTTGGGTTGATTCCCTGTCTTTACTGTTGTGAATAGTGCTGCAATAAATATACGTGTGCATTTATCTTTATCCCATAATAGAATGATTTATATTCCTTTGGGTATATATCCAGTAATGGGATGGCTGGGTCAAATGGTATTTCTGGTTCTAGATCCTTGAGGAATCACCATACTGTCTTCCACAATGGTTGAGCTAATTTACATTCCCACCAACAATGTAAAAGCGTTCTTATTTCTCCACAGCCTCACCAGCATCTGTTGTTTCTTGACTTTTTAATAATCACCATTCTAACTGGCATGAGATGTTATCTCATTGTGGTTTTGATTTGCATTTCTCTAATGACCAGTGGTGCTGAGCTTTTTTTCATATGTCCGTTGGCCGCATGAATGTCTTCTTTTGAGAAGTGTCTGTTCATGTCCTTTGCTCACTTGTTGATGGGATTGTTTGTTTTCTTTTTTCTTATAAATTTGTTTAAGATCCTTGTAGATTCTGGATATTAGCCCTTTGTCAGATTGGTAGATTACAAAATTTTCTCCCATTCTGTAGGTTGTTTTTTCACTCTGATGATAGTTTCTTTTGCTGTGCAGAAGCTCTTTAGTTTAATTAGATCCCATGTGTCAATTTTTGCTTTCATTGCAATTGCTTTTGGTGATTTCATCATAAAATCTTTGCCCATGCCTATGTCCTGAATGATATTGCCTAGATTTTCTTCTAGGATTTTTATGGTTTTGGGTTTTACATTTAAGTCTTTAATCCATCTTGAGTTAATTTTTATATAAGGTGTAAGGAAGGGGTAAAACCAGTTTTGGTTTTCTGCGCATGGCTAGCCAGTTTTCCCAGCAACATTTATTAAACAGGAAATCCTTTTCCCATTGCTTGTTTTTGTCAGGTTTGTCGAAGATTAGATGGTTGTAGATGTGTGGTCTTATTTGTGAGATATCTATTCTGTTCCATTGTTCTATGTGTCTGTATTGGTACCAGTACCATGCTGTTTTGGTTACCGTAGCCTTGTAGTATAGTTTGAAGTTCACTAGCATGATACCTCCAGCTTTGTTCTTTTTGTTAAGATTGTCTTGGCTATATGGGCTCAAAAAGTAGCTCACTTTTAAGCTTTTTTTTTTTTTCTTTTTTTGCTTGTATACACCAAAGGTGGTGTTGGTTCCAAATGAATTCTCAAGAATAATGTCTAAACAGACATGTGCTTGGCATGGGCATTGACATTTACATTGGTTTGTGTGATTTCTTTTACCTTTAAGATTGCTTCTGTTTCTAAAATTACTTTCTATAGTGTCATTTCATTATTTTAATACTACTCTATTTGAATATGATACCAGACCTCATGGAAGTCAAATAGCATTTCTCCTGCAAAGTTGGCTATTGCGAATGATGTTTTTAACGTCCTTTGAGGTGGAGTGGTTATTACCTGGAATGTGACAATTTCAATCTTTCATAATAGCTATGTGCTTTGTTGCATTTTAAAGACATTTGCTCTAGAATAGTTGAAGAATTAGGTGCTTGTGTGTTAAATACCACCTGATAATTATCTCAAGGGAGAAGTTGTTTAGTTTAAGCTTAATCTAAATAAAAGATAACCTGTCATACTAATTTTCAATAAGGCTTTAGTAAGATGGATATCCAGAATTTAGCTTAATTGCTTCCACTACAATGTAAGAGTGATTTGTGTGTCAAAATTAAGCATGTTGGCAGGTCATCCTGTAAAAGTTTGTATGTGGAGTTGAAGTAAACTTACATTTTTACTTGAAGCTCTTTTTAACAGTTTATTTCTTCTGCCAGTTATTTTATTGACTGTTAATTTACCACCCCTCTTAAAAAAAAAAAGGTGAGAGGAAAAAGGCCACAGCATCATCACATTTATATATGAGTTCCCTAAACCATATGGTGATTTCTAATTAGAATACAAAAGATTCTGTGATGAGACTAACTTCATAGTAGCTGTAACAGTGGGCATCACAGAAGGAGAGAGTTTTCTTCAGTTTCCAACAAGGAGACTTTTGAGAGAAACTGTGTGGTCTATAATTGTCCTTATACTAGAAGTCTGACAAAGTTATTGATGTGCAGATCAAGTTGGTATTTCGAAGGTAGTAATTTAATTCTGGAGGTTTGATCCTCTCAGTCAGTGGCTTGACTTGATTTTTTTTTAATGCAGCTTCAATATTTAATTTCACATGTACCCTCTCAGTAGAGATTTCAAAGGATACTTTGCTGGATGCTTGACTGCCTTGTCTATTTGCTCTTGTTTTGCATGCAAGAGAGAGCCAGAAGCTTTCTTCTCATTGTGTACACATGGTATTAATGGATTTACTCTGCCTGTATCGTCTCATTACTGGAAACAGCTAGAAGCACAGAAGTCTTTCAGTGTATGCAAATAAGGCAGAATCATCTACCTGAGAGTTAATATTCTCTGCTTTTAAGTGTATTCTAAATCTAATGTTTGTATTTAGAGCATAACATCCTGTTCTTTTTTTTTTTATAGGCAAAAAGCTAAGCAGACTCAGGCAGCTGTTTGATGTTGGCTTCAAGTGTTATTAATTTCATATTCTATTATTCTTTTCACTGTAGCACAAGTGAAGCTGATGTGGAGGCTGTCATGGATAAGTTGTTTGATGAGCTGGCTCAGAAACAAAATGATTGTACGTAAGTTAATTTCTCTTGAAAGAGAATACATTTAGAACACAATGCCCAATCTCCACTGACCAATTAATAAGTTCCATTGCTGTATATGGGTTGATGCCACGCTCAAGTGGCAGTCATTGTATCAGCATTTTGTCTAATTTATGTGTTGAATCATGTGCTATTATTCATCAAGCTATGCATTTCCTATCTGTAAGAGATGAATTTTATAGTAATTATCCAGACAAGATTGAGTCTTTGTTCATGTTCCCATAGTAACTAGACCAAGGATTCTAAAAGTGCAAGGCAGAGAGCTGCGCCTGAATAAAGCCTGTGGAACCATTGCCGACTGCACATTTGAAGAGCTGTGTGAGAGAGTAAGTATCCAGGCACGTCCAGACTCACTGGCCTTTTCACATGTTAAAATACTTCATGTTTTCCTCTCTGCCTGTTTCAGATTTTAAAATACCATTTACAGAGTCAGAACCGATTTAAAAGTCTCATTAAGGGAAATACTCATCTATATTTGCCATGTGCTTTTTATAGATATTGGCACAAAATTTGCACTTAGAAGGGTTCTAATGCAAAATTAGAAATGCAGAGAGAACTGTCAACTGTTGCTAGAAGCAAAAATAAAATCCGTTTTGGGGCTGTTTTGTAAAAGTCAAACATAAGAGATTTTGGAAAAATATTTGAGGTGAGAGTTAGTATGTGGGAAAAAGGAAGATGAAATAATGCTAGCATGATCCAAGGAAGCATCACATAAAATAATTTCCACCCCTTGTACTCATTGCCCATCTATTATTGCCATAACATCGGACCTACCAGGGCCAGGGTCAAAGAAGGTGAATTTCTGTAACTGTGACATTTATATTATATAATAAATAATATGTTCAACAGAGAAAAAATGTTTACCAGTATATGCACACATTCATATAACTCAGAAAGATCTTGACTGCAGATTCATTATAGATATGAATTCTGTCTTTAAAAATCTGGAATTCTCAGTACTCAATGGATATTCAATGTATTTATTGATTGCAAATCTTGAGGAAAACATATTCAAATTAGATAGAATTTTAAGCTTAATTTCTCGATTGACATGCTTAATTTATCATTCTAGCTGGTCTCTGATTTAGTTCTTTAGGTAACTAAAGAACAGTTGCTTTTCAGTAAGGGAAAAGACAAAATACGTATACCCGCGGCCATTTTATGAGTGCTTTTCTTAAAAGCTAGTGACAGCTGGGCGCGGTGGCTCCCGCCGGTAATCACGAGGTCAGGAGATTGAGACGATCCTGGCTAACACGGTGAAACCCCGTCTCTACAAAATATACAAAAAAATTAGCTGGGCGTGGTGGCGGCGCCTGTAGTCCCAGCTGCTGGGGAGGCTGAGGCAGGAGAATGGTGTGAACCCGGGAGGCGGAGCTTGCAGTGAGCCGAGATCACGCCACTGCACTGCAGCCTGGGCGACAGAGCGAGACTCCATCTCAAAAAAGCAATTATTTAGCACTTTAGAACCAGTAAAGTTTAGGATCAATGAGGATCCTCCGATAGGGTGGTAATGTTGATTTCTGTTAGTGAAAGTCATTCTGGGTGATATGGACCTTTCAGATCTCTCCTGGATCAATCTTTAAGGTCCTGATAACCTAACATCTCCTGACAAAATTCTATTAAGGCTCCCACTTAGGTTTGACTTATTTTGCAAGAAAAAATAAACTTGAGAAGAATCTTGTATATCCAAAAGATGAAGGTCCTCCACTCTCTGCAGAAGAGGACCCAGTGGGGAACGGGAAAAGACAGGCGTGTTGAATCTTGGGGGAGGAAGGCAAAGATGGTCTCTTTTGGAACAGACACTGAGTTTTATCTGCATTTTAAAAATATGCTCATTGTTTTAGGAGTCTTAGTAACAGGAAAAGGCCACTTATCAGGGACCAAAATCTCCAGTTTATTTACTATCCAGGGGTGATGGGTAAGAAGACTGATTGAGACTTTATCTTGAAAAATGAAATAGCACTTATAAAAATAAATCGTTTTGTCTTATTTGACAAAAATATGGATTACAATAACAACTACAAACTAAACTCTTAGATTTAACAATGAACAAGTGCAGCGACATGATCATGGCTCACTACAGCCTTGACCTCCTGGGCTCAGGCAATCCTCCCACCACAGTCTCCCTGGTAGGTGGGACTACAGGCACACAATGCCATGCCTGGCTAGTTTTTAAAAAAAGTTTTTGTAGAGGTGGGGGTCTTACCATGTTGTCCAGGCTGTTCTCAAATTCCTGACCTCAAGAGATCCACCCACCTCAGCCTTCCAAAGTGCTGGGATTACAGATGTGAGCTACCATGCCTTGTTAATTATTTTCTTTTGAAGTTTTTGTGATGTTATTATTTGCTGATTTTTTTTCTTCTCCAAGTTGGCCAGATCTTCTTTTGTCAGTGAGTTTGCATGGACAGGTTTGCCCTTTATCTAGACTGTAATTGTGGGGTGTTTATTACATTACGCAAGCACTGAATGACCTGCAGAAGGCATTGATGTGGTAAGTGGGGTTAGATCCTAGTGTTAAGCTATGAGGGATGTTTGAGGAAGGGCTAAGTTTTTAAGTAGCTAGTTATATAAAATATATAAAATAGTCATATATTTTATATAAATATATAATATATAAAAATATATAAATATATAATATTTATATAAAATATATGAAATAGTTGTGACTATTTTCTTGTTATGATGATTTTGCATTGCTTTGCAAACTTGTAACTGCAATTCAGATATTGATTTCTTGCATGGAGGACAATTGAAAGCCCTCAACTTCAGATGTAACCTAAAACTCTTAATGAATTATAATGATCTTATGAGCTAGGCTAAATAATTGCCAAAAACCATTAAGTAAAGATAACAACACATCCAACCTAAGGTAAAGAAGCAGGCATCTGGTGTGTCTGGGAGAGTCCCAGCTTTGGATCATCTGTCCTAATTTTCTAGAAGGCTCTTGAAGCCCAAGACCTGCCCAATCACGTGATACCATCATGAAAAAGTCTTTGGCAAGAAGTAGATTGGTTAACAGTCCATAATGATTATTTTTGAGTCATGGCCCCTTCCAAGGAAAAAATAATACAGAAACTTACCTGTGTCTTGATAAGGTAAAAGAAGGTTTAGATTGGAAGCCCTTGACATATGCCATAAGTAAAATGAAAAAGCCAGGCACATTCTGCTGTTTGCACACCTCTTCCCTCACTGTTTCAAGCACAGTTCCTCAGATTTGGAATCCTGCAGGTTAACATCTAGCCTCTTGGTATCTCCTGGATTCTCTTTCTTTGTAAATTTATAATTCAGTACTGTCATGTTCAGCAGTCTGAGTTAGGAGAACCTGCAACACATACATAATAATAATAATGAATATAGCCACCCATCAGGTATCATCCTACGCGCTTTTATATATAAATTCATTTGATACTTATAATAGGTAGGCACTATTATTGTCCACATTTTGTAGGTAGAGAATTTTAAACACCAAGATGTTAAGTTACCTTCCCAAGGTCATACAGCTAATGAGTGGTGTAGCCAGAGCTCGGACTTCTTGGTAGTTTGGGAGTCAGATTCTGTGCTTTTAATCACTACATTGTATTCTGTGCTTTTAATCACTACAAGATGTTCTGGACAAGTTCTTCCTCAATCTTTAATATACTCTGGACTCTATCTTAAAGTGTAATCATTTGGGAGGCCGAGGCAGGTGGATCACATGAGGTCAGGAGTTCAAGACCAGCCTGGACAATATGGCAAAACCCCATCTCTACTAAAAATATAGAAATTAGCCGGGCATGGTGGCGGGCATCTGTAATCCCAGCTACTCAGGAGGCTGAGACATGAGAATCGTTTGAACACAGGAGGTGGAGGTTGTGGTGAGCCAAGATCATGCCACTGCGTTCCAGCCTGGGTGACAGAGACTCTATCTCAATAAATAAATAAATAAATAAATAACAACAAAAATAAAGTGTAATCAGATAATTTAATTTGTGAATTTTCACATCTGAGCTAAGCTTTAAGAATTTTATGGAGCATGAAGCTGAATGGGGAACAGACATCCCCCAGTCCTGAGAGCCTCCCTCTGTGTTGAAAACCTTAGTACAGACCTGCCCAACTCATGTGTGTTGGCATACCCACTGGCAAGTCCAGCTACAAGCCCCTCTGCTCTTCTGAAGGCTGTACCTCCAGGGTTTGTGGCTCCAGGCAAGGGTCCCCAAGCCTTAGGCAGCCTCATCCCTTTGCCCATTAATAAAAATACTTTCTCTTCCTGCCATGACAAAGGTTGGGAAGTGCTGCTTTAGAGAAGTGTGGGAGGGTGGAGGAGAATATGTTTGGGCGGTCTTTGTTCCCTGCCGTTCCCTCCATATCAGAGCTGTGGCAAATGAACATGAAGCAGATCCATCTCGGTGGACATGACATGAGCTTTCAGGTTTCCTTTCCTTACCTTGATACAGCTACTTGGTTTAATCCGAGGGTAGTGGAGGAGTCAGAAATACAGTTATTGAAGGCAGTGGTTCTCAAAATGTGGTTTATAGACCTCTAGGGGTCCTTGAGACCCTTTCAGGGGTCCTGGGAATCTAAACTCTCTGTAACACTTCTTGCCTTTTTTACTCTGGTAGTATTTACAGTAATGATGCAAAAACACTGATGGGTGAAACTGCTAGCACCTTAGCAGGAATCAAGGCAATAGCACCAAAAGATACTGTATTTTTCACTGATCATATGCTCGCAGTAAAAATAGATAAAAAAATAAATAACCCAGTTCCATTTAAAAAATCCTTAAAGAAGCAGTAACAATTATTTTGTTAAATCTCAACTTTGAGAACATGTCTTTTGAATATTCTTTGTGATGAAGTGAAAGTACATGTAATAAAACACTTCTGCTCTATATCAAATATGAAGGCTGTCCTGGGGAAAAGCACTTGTACAGTTGTTTGAGTTGCAAGCTGAACTAGCCACTATTTTCACAGAATTCCATTTTTACTTGGAAGACTGAGTGACAGACAAACTATGGTTATTCAGATTTGGCAGACATTTTCTCACAATGTTTGACAGACATTTTCTTGAAAATGAATGAAATAAGACTGTCATTTCAAGGAAAACAACTGACAATATTTGTTGCCAGTGATAAAATTTGAGCAAACAAGTGAAAATTAGAATTTTGGAAAACTTGTTTCTGCCATCATGCGCTTGACAGCTTCCCAATTCTTAAACGTCTTTCAGATGAGATTGATGGTGATATTAACACATGCAATGTTTTGATAATTGTTTAATTAAATGTGTCAACATTTGGAAGATCTACATAACTCAATGAACCAATACTTTCCAATAACCAATGCATGCTCTT